AAAAAAAACCTATCGCGATTTCTTTGATCAATTTTGCGATTTCGATTTTAATCACGATTTTGACACACAGACATGCTTTACAGTCATTCATGCATTCAGTGTGAGTTTGAAACATTTACAAAAGAAAACCAATTAGAACTTTATCAAAAAGCTGTAACATGTCTCTAGAACAGACATAAGGCAAAATAATCACTATGTAAAGGTGTAACAAAATGTCTCTAGAATAGACACATATGGCAGAATTTTTTTTTTTTAAGTAAATGTGTAACAAAATGTCTCTAGAATAGACCTATGGCAGAAAAAAATAATCCCGTGTCCAGGGATTTTTTTTTGCCATGCATTGGTCATAGAGCTCTTTGTGGCGTTGCCTCAGATGTTGAACTAGATTTGTTGCGCCAAGTTCACACATACTCCGTCTGCAGTGCGTATACAGTATGTGTATGCGGTGCAGAAGCAGCACGGACTCATTGTGCTTTCGCACAGCTCCTGATCCGCGGCTGTTTACCACAAACACAACATTTATCCATTATTTTGATTTCAAATCCAAATGTTTCTGAAAATGCTTTTTCAGCATTTTGATTATCTTTGAACACAGTCCAGTAATACAATCTTTCATAGACATTCATGTTTAAACTCAATAAATTTAACTACCACCACGAGTGCCATCTATTATTGCCTTGTTTATCTAAAAGTGCACTTTTCCTTGTTTTAAATCTAGCCAAAAAGCCATGTGTTGACTGAAACAGTAGACTTTAATTATATGCATTTATGGTGTAATTACTAAATTTCCGTGTCAATCCATGTTAATTTTTACAGTGAAAAATGCACTGTCACTTTAATTTAGCGCGTGCAGCACAGCAGAAATAGACATGACTGCTGCAGACGCACCGCTCCTGGAGCGCACTGCCGGACCGCAATCGCATGCAGTGTGAACGCTCTGATCCGTTAACATGGGCACCGAAAAAATACACACCACAGACGGAGTGTGTGAACCTGGCGTTACATTTGTATGCCCGCCCGGTCTGTTCTCGTGCTCCATTTAGGCGCGCTGCATTCTGATTGGTTCGGATAGCATACTGCGGGAGGTCAGGGGCACGAAAAATAGTGCTGTAAATCGATTTAGAACTCAAATCGCGATTTTATGACGATTTCGATTAATCGCACAGCCCTAACTCTCAGGCACACTCACACTCTCTCAGACACACACTCTCAGACACACACACACACTCTCTCTCAGACATTCACACACGCTCAGACATTCAGATACACTCTCACACACTCAGATACACACTCTCACACACACTCACACTCACACACACACACACACTCTCTCTCACACACACACACACACTCTCTCTCAGACACTCACACACACTCAGACACACACACACACACACACTCTCTCTCAGACACTCAGATACACTCTCACACACACTCTCACACACACACTCACACACACACTCCACACGCTCTCTCTCACACACACACTCACTCTCACACACACACACACACTCTCTCTCACACACACACACACACTCTCTCTCAGACACTCACACACACTCAGACACACACACACACACACACTCTCTCTCAGACACTCAGATACTCGCTCTCAGACACACTCTCAGACACACTCTCAGACACACTCTCAGACACACACTCTCAGACACACACTCTCAGACACACTCTCAGACACACTCTCAGACACACTGTGTAAAAGGATATATTTTCTGCTTCTCTTCGTTGTACAGCACATCCACCAGCTGGATGATGTTTTTGTGCTGTAATCGTCTCAGCAGCTGAATCTCCCTGCAGAACAACAGAAGACACACACATCTATTAAACACACACACCTCCCATTAATGAACGCATCCTAAAAACACTGACGGATCATTCAACACACATCACTGATCCAGGCCCAAACATATTTATGAGATGAAAACACTAAAGGCCTAACTGATCACCGCTTGTCAACACACTAAACCAGTTGGTTTGTAAAGTAATGTAAGGTTTTAGGAGGTTGTGCTACAACAGACTGACACAAACATTTGCATAGTGAACATTCAAGAGAAATCATGAAATTATTCAAATAAACCTGATGAAAAGCGTGAGAGAGCTGTGCAGTAACCAGCAGAGCTCTGAGAACAGAGACGGGCCGTGTTTCCACTCGACTAAAATAGCTGCAGGCTGATGCAAACACACACTAGCGCACACGCATGAGTTATCTGACCCAGTGTTTCCCAACCTTTTTTTAGTCGCGGCACCCTTTGGAAATTTTAACAAACTTGTGGCACCCTACAAAATTAATTTTGTCACAATATTTGAATCTCTAACTTCGATGTGATAATTTGAAAAGTATAGATATTCGGTACAACAGGGAAGAACTGCAGAATATAATGTCTTACAGATATTTTTAATATTATTAAAACATTTTGTCCATCAATGGAGGAAATCAGTAGGCTAATTTCTAATGAAGAGACCAATGTATATGACAGATTTTAATGTAGGCTTTTCTTCATATGTAAACATTAGTTAATTACCATTATAACTAGCTATCTCACAAGTGTTTGCTCACTCAGTGTTTTACAGCGGGGTAATTGTGGTGCAGTAGCACGAGATAGCTTGATTTCAAACTTTGAATTGAATAAAAAATGACAAGTAAGCAGTCAGTAATAAAATAAGAACTAATAAAGAAATTAATAATGATGGCACAAATAGAAAAATAATGACAGGAATTTGAATTAAATAAATAGCTTTTTAGTTTTTCAGGTAGATATAACAGTAGGGTTAAGATATTTAACATTTTTTTTACCAATTATCCAAATAATGTTTAGTCCTAGAAAGCTATTATTAT